GTATTAAAAGCATAATATTTTACAAACCCTAATAATTAAATGCAATATTCTAAAATAATTTAAAACATAACCTAGTAATCTAAAAGATTACATTTATTTAAATCAAATCCTAAAATCATTGTAATAAAATAAAAATCTTAAATCCAATTAATTGCATATCCAATCATAAAGATCTATAAATATACTTCTAAAAACTTGAGAAAATAGAAGAAATAGTTGATAGATGCTTATTGATCTTAGTACTTCACGATATGTCTTGGAAATTTTACACTTCTTCTGGACAATATCTCGAGCTATTAAACCTAGTTATTCTCAAGGTTCACAATGATTTTTTGTCTTGTGATAAATGGTATAGAGACCAAAGACACAATTTTGCTATAGCCAAATGCAGTGGGGTATCTCCATTATGGTCTCTCTCATTTCACAGTTTCAGGACGGATCTTTGGTTTCCCAATAAGTATTTTACTATCTGTTTTATCCACACATTGCCGCCATGTGAAATGTTACGACCTTATTACTGAGCAAAAGTCCAACCTCAAACCATTCTAGTTCAAGAAATTTTTTGACCACCTTAACATGACCCATTTTGCAGGCAAGGTGAATTAGAAGATTGCCCTTGGTTTCGTTGAAAAGCGATTCTTAGACTTTCTAAACATTATACCAACACCTTCCACATAACCAGCGTTTGCGGCATCATGATGAAGGGGGGTGTTGCCCTTCTCATCTCTCTGATACCTTAGCTCTTCTATCATATTCACTATCCTTTTCAATAGATCTGCACCTTCAAAAACAAGCATATACATATAAAAGGTGAATGAAAGAGAAAACAAACACAAAAGCACTAGGCTAATTAATTAATTAATTAGTAAAATACACGCAAACCAGGTTTTCGTTTTGACGAGGTGGCATGAAGTGGAGAGTCTCCATTTGAAATGTCGTTGACTGAGCTGAATGGAATTTGCAAGAGACGCTCAAGAACTACCTCATTTCTCCGTCAGGACTCCAAATACATTGGTGATTTACAACCATGCTTGGAGTTCCAAGTCCAATAGGAGCCTGCTGATCTGTAGGAGTGTGTTCATCACTTAAAAGGACATTATTAACTCCCTCAAGATGCTTGGACAGAACTGCTTCGTGCAAAGCTGTGTTCCCATAGTTATTCTCTGATGTTACAAATTGCCCTATATCAGTCAATTCAATCAACCCAGATAGACCTGAGCTCTTTACATTTGGACAGAATGACATTCATTGCTTCAATGTTATTAGCCCTGGCAGCAACATGGAGTGGACTGTCACCTTTCCTGTTTCTCTTATTCAAAAGCACAGGAAAGTGTTGAGCAATCAGCTCTACAACTTCTGGTTTCCAGAATTCAGCAGAAACATGGAGCAACGAATCACCTGCGGGAGCAACATGATTGAAGATGATGGATACATGAAATTGGTTTTGTGTACATACCTTCTCTAATTCATCGACAAAGGTATCTACATCTGTATTCCGATCACGAACAACCTTGTACAGCTCGTAATCCAAAATGTCTTCATTCTCGTGACAAAATCTCCGATGATCGATTGATGTACTGAACTGCCTGTTCATGAGCTGACGCACCTTTTCGTTGCATCGCTCCCTCTGGCTGGAATCATACGCTGCCATGTGAATTGATATGATTTAAATTTCTCAATGCGAACCAAGATGTTAAAGCTGGTAATTGTTTCCCAAGTGCAATTTAATTCAGCATAAGGAAGCTTTATATAGCTTTGCAAACTCATGTCCCTTGGACCAGTCATCAGGCTTCTGTTAAGATCACCCCACAAACTGATTGGAATATTAAGAATCTTTCTAATACCGATAAACAATTTATTTTAAAAATAAAATCAGTTTTCATAAGTTGTTAAAAGGAAATTCCAAAAGCTATGCCCTAACTAATTCAAATCAAATCCTTGGACCAGTCAGGACCTTTGTTAAGATGAGCAAGCCTCGAATTACATGAACATTACTTTTTGTTAGTCATGCTTAGATATTATGTACCATGGGTCATTAACCATTCTTTTACCAATTTTTTTTTTAAAATGGAAATTGAATTAGTCTGAATAGGTGAATTTCCCAGGAGAAATTGCTTTTCAGAAGTGGACAGTTCGCAAATTTATATCTATATTATATATTTTTAGTAGTGTTATTTTTAGTTTCCAACAATTTGTACAACTCCCTACCGCAAGTGCGGATGAAATTTGTGTACCCTGCTGCAAACTCACTTTGAAATTCACCTTTGCATTCTTGAATTAAATTAGTGTTGGAACCTTAAAAACAAGACTACTGGAAAAAGTATAAGATGTATATGAAATTTGCATAACCCTGCCACTAAAAAAGCCGCTAATCTAACCTACACTGAAATTGAAATGATATTATAGCACAATTATTAAGTGTTGTAATGGTTATTTTGAAAATTTATAGTATGTTTTGAAAAAATAGTTTTTGCAAAATATCATTATTATGTTTTAAGGTGTAATCATTATATTTTTAAAGTGCCCATAATAAATAAATTACTTTATATTTATTTTAAGGTAAAATATCCATTAAATATGAGTAAATATGAAAATATGATGTTAATTTAAAGATAATTAACTATTTTATTGAGAGGTGAAATTCGATTAAAAATACCTTATATTTTTTTTGAAGGGAGTACATAAAACCTCTATTGTATATTTGAGATTTCATTTCTATCTATCCAATAATTAATTAACTGTTAAGTTTGACTTATAAACTTTTAATTTAACTAAAATATCCCTCTTTAACATAAAAATTTTCTAAAAATCTATATTTGCCTAAAAAATATTTTTTGTATACAACTAAAAAATATAGTATAACTTTTTGTTCATCACACAACATAAATGATGTAAGTTTGGGAGATTATATAAATAATTTAAATTTAAAATTTTCAAACATGTTTTTTACAATGAAATTATGTAACTATCAAAATAATATAATTTAGGATTTTATTAGGGTGAGGGGTAAATTAATAAATAAAATTTGTTGAAATAAAATTTTAATTTAATAATAAGTTTTGGAATCTTTTTAGAAGATTCCTAACAGAATTAATAGATTGGACTAAGTTATACGTTTTCAAAATAAAGAAGAGATCTGTATAATTAAGGCAAAATAGAAGAGTGGTTAGAGTATTTTATTCTAAATAAAATGGTAGCTTTGGATTATGTTAAAATAATTCTATGTTAAGGACCGGAAACAGTAATGAATATAAAACTCCAACTGCTTTCCATGTATGATTCTCAAATACAAAGACGAATATAGAATTAATAATATTAATAACTATAATATATAATATATATAATATTTAATTTAGGAATTAAGAAATAATATACTACACCCACTTTTTTTCAGGCCCTTTCTTCTTGTTCTTTCTCTATATCGGAACTTAAAAGCACTGAACATGTTCTTATTTGCCTATGTTATTTTTTACTTCAAGTTTCTTAACTATGTTTTCAATTAAATTGGACTTGTATATTAATTTTAATGTTGTTATTATATTGTATTATAGTTGATAAGTTCTCTTACTTACTATATATTATAGTTGGTAAATCAAGTTGTATATATAAATGCTTTGTGCTAAAATATATTTAAAATCTTTATATTTTGTTGGAATGGAGGATAGGAGAGGAAGAAATTTTAATAGAAGAAAGATGAGAGAAGGAGAGGTGATGGAGGGGAAGGGGGGAGCGAGGAATCCCTCCAAATTCTCTCAATTTAGAGAGGAGAGCAAATTTCCTCCATTATGTTTTTACTGAACATGGGGATGCGGAGACCCTTCAATCGCCTCCATTTTTTCCATCCAAATGACAAGAAAAATTTTATTAAAACTTTTCTTTTCATCGTCTTGCTCTCTTCCAATCAAATATAGTAGAACTAGAAAGCATATTTAAGAGGCCAAGCTAAGTTTTAAATAGATTTAGGTTTAGGCCATTGAAAAATGTCTTATATACACTTCAAACTAGCTCAAGTTTTTAATCTTTCATACAGACTGTGACTTATTTAGTCAAAACCTTTCATCCCATATAATTTAAATGCTTAATCATTCATGAACCTTCTTCAATGTGGGGAAAAAAAAAATTCCAACACGGAACGTACCATTGACGTCTCTAGTCAATAGCTTGCACCGACATGGTCCATAACGTAGTTCTATGTGTAATCAACGTCTTTTCATCGATAAAATTTGTAGAATTAAAGAACCCACTAGTAATTATGGCCTACACTTTAATTGCTACAAATGCATTACCTATTTTGAATTTTCACAGAAAGTTAATGCATTTTCCAGGAGACAATATGTGCTCATTCTGAGAGACACAGTGTCAACAACACTTTACTTTTGATACATTATTTTCAAAGTCTCTGTTCATCTGTCATATTATCATATTGTCTTTATCTGTTCATTTTCAACCCGTTCGAAGGATCAACTTGACTGATTGAACAAAAAACATGATACTATTATCCCCACCGCGACAGGCTGGAATAAACTAAGTATTGAAAAAAAGATTCTATTATATTTCTTTCGTAGGATCATTTCAAAGTCGCCTTCTTGGAGATGTTATTTTCACCAACGAATTAGAGAACATAACTAATATTCCAGTCACTTTGTGTAAGTGACGCGTAAAAATTGTCTAATCCGCACGTAGTTGAATTCACGTGATTTGCATTTATACAGTAAGGATATAAACGCTCCTTTCTGCTGAATTAAGGTATTTCGCCCAAACACCCCAACAATAAAATTTAAGACAGTTAAGGTATTTCGTCCAAATATACGAACAATAAACATAATTAAATATTAATTAATTGTCTTAAAATTAATGAGATTTGTAAGTTTTTTTTTCATTTTGATGAAAATGTTAGGAGTGATTTATAAATAAAAATAGAATAATACTTTTAATTATGGGTGTAATTAATAATATTTTTTTTTTAAAAAATATAAAATATATTTTTGATATATCCTTAAATGATGTGTAAGACTCAAATATATAATATTTTAGTATAAAATAATGTAACACTTCAATAATTAATTAATATTTAGTTATATTTTATATATTTTAAAAATAATTTTTTTTATCCAGGCATTTGGGCTAATAAGCAAGAACATAGAAAAGCTATCTTTCTTGTAAGATTGGCCCTGAATTTTTTCAGGTGGGTTCAAGTTAACCCATCGGTCTTGGCCCAAATTACCGGTTTTAGTGACAAGGGAAGAAGGGAAGAGAAATTATGGAGTACAATTATATATTGAGATGGAGTCATAGTAGACATAATCCGCCACACATGTCACATCAATTTTTTTATTTTTTAAATATAAGTATAGAATTTGCTTGATAGAAGCCAAGTTCTATACTTTTTTGAAAACAAAAATTCGCATAGAACTTGGGATAATAGGAGCCAAGTTCTGTATTGTTGCATAGAAAAAATAATTGAAACTCGGTGTCATTGAAGCCATGTTTTAAAATTTGTAGTATTTGGAGAAATATTTTTAAAAGTATAGCATATTCATAAATAATTTTTTTTTGTTATAGTATCATGGTCAAATTATCATTAAATTGTCTATTAGGGCAAACAATTACCAAACCCCATGTTAGGACTTGCACTTTGTCTTTTTTCCTTTTCAAATATCAAAATTCCACACATTTTTTTGTCCTATCTTTTATCTAGTCAATGTCTTTGCTCCACTTGCTTCTGTTCCACATATTTCTCATCAAACCTCATCATTTTGTATAGAATAATAAAAGTAATATGAACATAAGCAAAATTTCCACAAAGCAGATGACAATACATAATGTTACTTTGAAAAGTTCCAAGATCAAGGAATATTGCTGGAAAGAGAACCAAAGAAGGGGGAAACGCCGAGAGAGAACAGAGAATTTTTCCACTAACGGACAAGTCTTCTTTGTGATTATGAATTATAATAAGGCAATTAAGCACAATAATGTTTGAAAGTAATTTTCTCTCTACATCAAGAGAAAAAAGGTTTATGTAGAGACCAATATTGTCAGAATTGGATCAGGTATTGAACTGATTAGGGTACTGGTTCATTAAATCGTAATCAGACTGTGATTCAACTTGTCTAAATTTAAATAATAAAATTTAAAGGTTAAGCATAAAAAATATATATTTTAGACACTATTTAATTATATTTTCATCATAAATATCAAATTTATAGTTAGCGCTGCACCAACATTATAACAAAACTATTTATTTCAATTATAAATGATCAAAATCATCAATTATGTCACAATAATTGTCTAATCAAGCCAACATAAGCTTTTTATCATTAACTAAAATTAACAATGTATTTTCTTTTTTTGACCAACATATTATCAAAAATATGTATAACACTAAAGAAAAACCATCCCAAAACAAGTAAACATACAGCATAACACAAATTTAGGTTATTAAGATTTTTTTTTAAAAAAATATGGAAGTCGGTTCTTACAAGTTTTTCACCAGTTTTCACCTATTCTATGTTGTTATTGATCGGTTCACTTTTTACTAGCTTTGGAGGGTTGACTGGTTTGAAACATAGGTCGGTTCCTGGGTAGAGGCTATAACATCCTCAAAATTAAACATGATTAACTAAGCTTGATTAGAGTAATTGAGTTTATTAA